GAGCCCCGTCCTCCGCCCCTTTCGCGTGCCCGCCCCTCTTCTACGCCTCGCCCCGCGCCTCTCCGGTGCCCCTGCCCCTCCTACGCCCTGTCCCACCCCTGCCCTCGCCGCCTCGCGGGGTCCGGCCCTGGCGGAACCTGGCACTGCAGTGGGAGACAGGGAGTCGTTCCAGGCCTGCAGCAGGTCGTCATCGAGGGACACGGGCGAATCCGACGGGGCGGGCGAGGGCGGGGGCGGCACGAAGTTGGACAGTGGCAGCCCCTGTGTGAAGGACTCCAGGCACATGCTGTCGAAGAAGCGGGCGGCCAGCACGCGGGACTCTCCGCTGCTCAGGTTCATCGTGGGCCCCAGAGAGCCGTTAGCAGGCGACTTGAGCACGCAGGTGGCGCCCACGCCCGAGGGCAGCCGGAGGGTGCTCACGAGCTGCTGGGGGCTGGCATCCGGCGACAGCCGCAGTCTGGGGGATGGTGGTCATGAGTGGGGGTGCGGCCCCCTTGCCTCCTGCCCCTCCCGCCCGCTGCCCCGGGGCCCTCTTACCGGTACTCCCAGCGCTCCTCGTTGGCGTAGGGAATGAAGTTTCCACGGGGCTGGGTGTAGTTGTGGTATTGAGAGGGCGAGAGGACCAGCGGGGGCAGATCACCTGGTGCAGTGGGGGGAGGGCTCAGCAGTCGGAACACCTGCCATCGGCCCCAGACCTAGGCCCCCTCTTCCTAGCACCCAGAGGCCCAAGTTTGGGGAGGCCCCACACCCAATGAGCCCTCCGTGGGCCCGACAGCCTCCGATTGTGGCTCCGAGGCCCAGGGCAGGCAAGGGTCCCCCTACATGGTGCAGACGCAGGCGGGGTCAAGGCCACACCTCTTGTAGGATGCTAGCCCACGGTGCCCCTCTGCCTGGTCAGGTGGCCGTACCAATCTCAGGGACGGAAAGGGCCACCGTCATGGCCACGCAGACGAAGAAGGCAGGCAGCAGGATCTGGGAGAAGAGTGCCTTGGAGTTGCGGCGGGCGCAGTGGAACCGCTTCACCAGGAGCCCGTGGAACTGGCGCACCCGGAGCCACCAGCCATCCAGCTTGCAGCTGCCCTGGCCGACCCGCGTGAGGGCCTCGGCCTCAGCCTCTGCACAGAGGCGGAAGCTGAGCAGGGGGCCCTGTGTGTCCTCTGCACACCCACCCCAGTCCCACCCAGCTGCCCCCCACCTTGCAGGCTGACGTTGTCGGGGTCCTGCAGGTTGTCAAAGAGGGGGTGGTAGTCCCCATAGACCTCAGCATAGCCAGTGCCCTGGTCCCCACGGGCAGAGCCCACTGACGATGCCGACTGCAGGGAGGCCTGTGACTCTGCCAGCTCTGAGCACCGGGCCAGGTTGCCAGCGGGAGCCTCCCCAGCCACTGGGGCCTCTGTCCCTGGTATCACATCCTTCCTGGACTCCTTCACATCTGCATGGTAGAGGCAGTCAGAGAGGGAGAGAGGGCTCAGAGCTACCTGCCCTCTGACTGGGGAGCCCCAAGTCCCAGGCGCCCATGGCCACCTACCCACCCTCCTAGGACTCCCCTGGGAAGGGAGGGGTGATGGCCCAGGCCCCATTTCAGGCCTGGTGGGGCAAGCTGGGGCAGTGGGCTCCAGGCAAGGGTCCCCGGCACCCCTCACCAGCTTCACTATTCTCCAGAGACTGGTCCTCCTCGGACACTTTGAGGAACACCTCCTCCAGTGTCGTGTCCATCAGCCCGAAGCTGCTCAGGCGCAGCTCATCCAGACTGTGCTCCAGGTGCTGCAGAGGGACTGGGTGAGGGGGTGCGGGACGCAGGGCCTCCCAGCAGCCCTGTCCCACCCCGACCGATCCTCCCACCTGGAAGAGGCGCTCAAAGGCCCCCTTCTTGGCAGCCTCGCTGGGCAGGATGTAGGAGAGCTCGGTGCTTGTGTCTGACACCAGCAGGCAGGAGGCCACATGCTTGCGGATGAACTGGGAGACCTGTGGCTCAGAGCAGCTGCTCAGCGGGGCCCGGCCCAGGGGGCTGGATGCCAGCCCTGGCTCTGGGGGGGAGGGGGGAAGAGCAGGGAGGGGCTTCACTCCGGGCTGGGGGTCCTCAAGGAGCCCGGCTGGGTCAGGATGGGGGCCTCGGGAGAGGGCAGGCCAGTCCCACCAGGCATCCACAGACCCCTGGGCACGGTGAAGGCCCCGCCCCTCCACTGGGGGTCTCAGCACAGACCTTGGGGACCTCCAGGCTCGGCAGGCCGCTTGACCAGCGTGAGGCGGTAGCCGTCGCCATAGGCACCCTTGAGGAAGAGCGGGGAGCCACAGCACTTGAGCTTCCCGTGGGAGATGATAGCAATGCGGTCCCCCAGCAGGTCCGCCTCGTCCATGTGGTGGGTGGACAGGAGGATGGTGCGGCCTGGGCCAAGGCCAGTGCGGGGTCAGGGTGCTGGGCGGGGCCAGGCAGGCGACTGGCCTGCGCCTGCACCGTGCTCCGCCCCTCGCCCAGCCCCTCGCCCCGCCCCGCTCACCGGGCTTGTACTTCAGGATGAGGTCCCAGATGGCCCGGCGCGCATAGGGGTCGACGCCAGCTGTGGGCTCGTCCAGGATGATGGCTCGGGACCCACCCACGAACGCGATGGCCACGGAGAGCTTGCGCTTCGTGCCCCCGGACAGCGTCTGCACCAGCGAGTGGCGCTTGTTGGAGAGCTCCAGGTCCTCGATCATCCTGGAGACGGGCAGGACGGCGTGGGGCAGGGGAGCCTCGGCCCCGCGGCCCCGCCTCTGCGCCCGCCCCACTGTTCCGTCCACCTTCCTGTCCAGGCATGGCGCCCGCCCCTAGCCCCCAGCCCCACCCCAGCGTCCTGCCCCTGTACCCCACGGCCCCGCCCACGGCCCCGCCCACTTGTCCATCTCCTTGCGGATCTCCTCCTGCGCCATGCTCTTAAGCCGCGAGTAGAACCACAGATGCTCCTCCACCGTGAGGCGGTCGAAGAGCACGTTGTGCTGCGGGCACATGCCCAAGTTCTTGCGGATCTCGTCCATCTCCGTGCGGATGTCGTGCCCGTAGATGGTGGCCGAGCCCGAGGTCGGCGGGAACAGGCCGGTCAGGATCGACCTGGGTGGGTGGCCGGGGTCACCACCAGCCCCGCCCCTGCCAGGCCCACCTCGTGCCCAAAAGGTCCCCGGCTGCATCCTGCTGCCTGTCGTTCTCAGAGGCACTCACATGGTTGTGGTCTTGCCGGCCCCATTGTGGCCCAGGAAGGAGACGACCTGGTTCTCGTACAGGTTCAGGCTCAGCTTGTTCAAGGCCAGCTTCTTGTCATTCTTGTAGACCTTGGTGAGCTTGTCCACGCAGACCACTAGTGGCAGGTGGGTGGGTTCTTCCTCCATGCCCCGCGTCTCCTCTGCACACGGCATGCGTCAGAAAGGTGGGGAGCAGAGCTGAGGGTGCCCCGTGCCCTCTTGCCACCTAACCCAGCTCCCCCGCTCCCTAGCACCTCACCAAACCGCCGGCTCTCCATGGCGCAGGCCTGGTCCTCCTCCATGACGCTGAGGCGGGGGGCGTGTGCCCATGGCCAGCTCCACTCCCACGCCTCTGTCCGCCCACTGCCCAACCAGTAGGACTTCTGCAGCGGGAAGTACCAGGGCCGGGGCAGCCCGTACATGCCTGGGGGCCAGGGATGGGCGGGAGGCTGACTCAGAGCCTGAGGGTGGGCAGCCCACCAGAGGCGGGTGTGCTCCCACCCAGGGAGCTGCCCAGGGAGCCCCCTCCTCAGCCGCGTCCCTTTGCCTCACACCTCCTTCTGGATGTACCTGGGTGCACAGCCTCAATGTACCACGTGAGCACGCCATAGACGGCCGCATCCACCACCAGCATGGTGACGGCCAGCAGCAGATTGAAGTCGTCCCCTTCCACAGGCGACTGGCTGAATGTGTGCCACTGGATGCCCACGCCCGCCACCTCGTACAGAGCAAAGTATTTGGAGCCCAGGCCGAAGGCCGTTGTGGACATCAGGGACTGAGAAGACATGGGTGTCAGTGGGCAGTTTGGGGCAGGGGGTGGGCCCCGCCACCCAGCCCAGCTGCCCACCCACGACCCTCACCGCAATGCACTTCTCGAAGGCAGTGATCTTATCGTGGGCCACCTCTTCGCGGATGGCCACGTACATGTAGGGCACGTAGCTGAGGAAGTAGATGATGCCGCCACAGGCCGAAGCCAGCTTGGCCTTGGAGTACAGCACCGACACCAGGAAGCTGGGGGCCACAGGGTGGTCAACCACATCCCACCCTCAGGGGCTTCCAGCTAGCTGCAGCCCTGGAGGGCGCCCCACCCGAGCTGGCCACGGGGGCTCACCAGAACATGATGGTCGCCACAGCGTAGACAGCCAGAAAGAGCCAAATGATGAGCACGTGGCTGTGCATGAGCACCTGACCGTACTTGAGGATGGCGGTGAGGGCCGTCACCGAGATGGACAGCTGCACGAAGCCCGTGATAAACCAGGCCACCCAGTGCACCGCGTTGTTCAGGCCCATGGTCTTCATCACCTGCGGGTGGTGGGCGGTGATGCAGCCCGAGGCCCCTCCCCGTCCAGCACCCCATCCCGCCCTCTGCCCCACCTCCTTGAGCCGGTGCTCCTTCTCAGCCACGATGTGCTGGATGGTCATGGCCACGGAGTAGACCCAGGAGATCACCATGCAGAGCGGCATCATGTGCTCGATGACGAACAGGAAGCTGGGGGAGGAGGGGCATCAGGGCGCAGGCCTGAGCCCACAGCCGGGATCCCTCCTCTCCCCCCACTCACTCGTCGCGTGTGTAGCAGGGGTAAGGGAACATTTGCACGTAGTTGCCCGGCTCCACCACGTCGTGTCCCACGAAGGTGTTGATGATGGCGCGCTCCATCATGTCTGCGGGCGGAGTCAGCGTCAGGAAGCCGGCCCTTCCCCGCATCCCCATTCCCCCTGTCAGTCCCCCGACAGGCCCCTCACCCTGGATCCACACGAAGCCGTACAGGAAGTAGAAGCGGCCGCCGGTGTTGGGCCCTGGCCGCCAGTAGGCCCGGCGGATCTCGTTGGTTTTCTCTGTGAAGCTGGAGTTCTGACGGATCTTGTAGTGCACGTGGGGCGGGAGGGATCCGTCCTTCCGCGTCTGGAAGATCACGCCTGAGGACCCAAGGCCGAAGAGGTCGTGGGGGTGGGGCTGGGAGGGGCGGAGCAGGGCTAGGGTGGGGCTGCGGCAGGAGGAGTTGGGCTGGGGCGGGGTGGGGGATGCGGGAGTGGGGCCTGGGACCCGGCTGGGGGAGAAGAGGGGTAGGACCAGGGCCGGGGGAAGTGGGAGGGGCCGAGTCCCTGCAAAGCAAGGGAGAGGGGCGGGGTTCAGATGAGAGGGGAGGGGCCGGAGGAGTGGGCGGGGCCTGCAGCTCACTGGCGAACACAGTGACGTTGTCCTGGTAGGCCTGGTTGAGCGTGTAGTTGACGATGCTCTCCTCATCAGGAAAGCCCTTGAAGATGTCCACGCTCACCTGGGGAGAAGGGCATGGTTGGAGGCAGCCCTGGGTGCGGGAGCAAGGCCCCGCTGGTCCCGTCCTCCCCCACACTCCCTCACCTTGGACATGAACTGGATCCAGCCACAGGCCGCATTGTCGATGGTGTCCAGCTGCTGCAGGAGGGCCGAGCCGTTGGGCAAGGAGAAGTTGTCCTGGCGCAGGGCAGGGGGCAGCTCCTCCAGCGAGAGGTTCTGTGCTTCAGGGTGCAGCCGCAGTTCCGCCACGTACTGGGGGTGCAGGGCCGGCTTAGAGGGTGGGCACGGGCCAGCCCCCCACCCCAGGGCAGAGTGGGGCTGCCCCGCGGTCCCCCCTCCAGCCCCCACAGCACCTGCTGCAGCCAGTGAAGGTGCTGCTGCAGCCGGCCCTGCTCTAGGAAGCTGCGGATCTCGGACGAGATGTTGAGCCAGACCTGGGCGTAGTGAGTCACGTTGCCCACGAAGGCAAAGGTCTCATTGGCCTGCGGAGGGTGAAGGGACCGGCATGGGGCTCACGGAAGAATCCAACCAGTGGGTGTTCTATGCCCTCCTCCCCTCCCAGGCCCGGCACAGCCGACTAGCCCATCCCCACCAGCAACCAGCCTTGTGCTTGCCTTCTGACCACACCCCCAGCTGGACCCTAGCAGCCCACCCCCACCAGCCTTCCCAAAGCGTCCACACAGCTGTCCTCGCCCTCCTCGGACCCGCTCTGCCCTCCGCTCCTGGACAGCACAGGTACCTGCTCCGCTCCTACCTCACGGAGCCTCTCAGGGACCCCTTCTCTACTCCCCCTTAATCAGCCCTGGACTTGCCTGTCTCTCTCCCAGCCTCATCCTAGGGACCCCTTCCACACATGCCCCTACCTCATCCACAGGCTGACCCCTCCCAGGCAGGTTTCCAGTCCTGATTTCTGCTTGTTCCGAGATGGGCTATCTCCCCTGGGATGGCCTGTGGCATCCCCACTCAGAAGGCTCTGAGCCAACTCAAGCAAAGCTTCTTCTCCTCTGCAGCACCCACCCAGCTGCCCCGCCAGACATCACCGCCCTACACCGGGTCCTGTGCCAAATTCGGCCACCTGGACACACCCCCTCCTCCAGCCCCACCAGCACTGCGCAGGCGCTGGCCACCCCGAAGCAGGCCAGGCTCATGCAACAGACCAGCCACTCCAATGCCTTCCCACGGGAGGCCGCCAAGGGTGAAACCCGCCAGGTGCCCGAGCTCCAGGGCATGTGTCCCACGTGAAGCTGCGCCCCACATGCCAACTGCTCCTAGCCCCCTCTCTTCTTCCGGGGTCCTGCCCGGGAGGCGCGCAGCCCAAGCAGCAACTGCGCCAGTCCGGCGCACCTTCAGGATCACGCGGTCTGCCTCGGAGCCCGCGGGGGCGTACAGGATCTTGGGGTTGCTGGTCATGAGGTGGACCAGGAGGCCTAGGTTCCGCTGCTCCTTGCTCGTGAAGCCCAGGGAGCTCATGTTGCCCCGCCGCAGAGCCTCGGGCTCGATGGTGCTGGGGAGGGGCGGTACCAAGAGAGTGGGCGGGGCGTCAGGAGGCCTGGTTTCAGGAGTAGGGGCGGGACGCTGGGGGATTGTGGGCGGTACACCCGGAACCGGTGGGCGCGAGGCAGGGAGTCAGAGTTTGGAGAATGGTCGCGGGGTGTCTGGGTTCCAGGGGGCCTTCAGGGTTGAGGTGAAGCGGTACACCAGGAATAAAGGGACGGGGCTTCAGGGATGGGCAGCAGGGCTTCATGGAGTGGTGGCGGGGCTTCAGAGGTGCTGGGAGGGGGCTTCAGCATGGAGCTGGGGCTTCCGCTGGGTGGGGCATCAAGGACTGGACCGGGTGTGGCGACAGGGCAGCGGGGATCAGGCAGGGTGTCAGTGTGTGGCATCAAGATTGGGGGCAGGGCTGAGGGCACCGGAGGAGGGGGCACTGCACCAGGAATGGGGGACGGGGTGGGGTGTCAGAAGCGGCCACGGGGTCGGACCCCGCCACCCACCTACCGGTTGTTGCCGCAGAGGATGGGCTGTAGGCCTGCCCAGAGCTGCACGAAGGCTGCGCACTGGCCCTGCAGCGCGTCGGCGGAGGCCTGGACCGCAGCCGGTGGGCCCCCCTCCTCCACCGTGGCGTTGGCCCCCGTGCCCGCCCCGGTGCCGGTGCCGTTGGCCGCGCCGCCGCCTGGGCCGCTGGCGGGGGGCCCGGGGGCCCGGTCGGTGCATGCGCCCTGGGGCAGCAGCAGGGCCAGGGCCGAGAGGACGTCCACATCCCGCAGAACCTTCTGGGCGTCCAGCAGGTCCTCCAACAGCGCCTGAAGCCGCCGCGGGGGTGGTGGCTGCTGCTGAGGGTCGGAACCGCTGGCCACATCCATGCCCAGCTGCGGAGAGATGGGCATGTGGGGAGCTGCTGGCCCAGAGAGTGGTGTCTGGGGGAGCAGGGGCTGGGGGTGGGATTTGCAGGTAGGGTGGCTGAGGTTGGAGGTGGAATAAGGAGGACAAAGCAAGGGACACAGCTGGGACAGGGGCTGAGGGCAGGTCTGCAGCCCCGGTGAGGGAAGCGGAGATACCAATGGGGTGAAGGCACCCGGCTGGGCATGAGGCAGGGTGTGGGAGGCTGTTGGGCACCAGACAGTGGCTACGGTCCCTCCACAGCCTTAGTCCCTGGAGCCCCTGTGGCCCCGACACTGCCAGCACTTCCTCCAGCCGGCCCTCAGCCCTGCTGTCCAGCTGGCAGGCAGAGCCTCACCTGCCGGGAGATCTTGGCCATGTCCAGCTGGTTCCGGAGCTCAGCTGCCAGCTCAGAGAAGCGGCGGGTGCGGACGGCGGCCTCCCCGCTGCAGACAGCAGCCCGGTAGCCCTGCAGTGCACTCTGCTGACCCTCGGGCACTGTGAGGATGCGGCCCAGCTCCCCAGAGCCTGGCGTGCATGTGAGCTGCTCCAGGAGGGCAGGGGCCAGCAGCAGCTCCTGGTAAGGGTGGGGTACAGGAAATGTGAGGCCAAGGGCAGGGTCTCCAGGAAGGAACTCCCAACCCATACCAAGAGGAGCCTGAGGGCCCGGTCTAAGATGCCCTTCAGGTCTCACCCTGCCCCCTGCTCTGCCCAGGTCTGGGACGGTGGGCTCTGCAGCATGGGTCCCCATGCCCTCGTGCCAGCTTCAGGCTCCCCAGTGCCCTCCTTCACCCACCTGGGCAGAAACCCCCACCCAAGGTAGGAGGCATGCTCCCCAGGCCTCCAGGTCCCCCTCACCTCCATCTGGAGCAGGGGATTGCCACCCAGGCGGCTCCAGGGCCCCTGACCCCTGGGGAGGCTGGAACCAGCACGCAGGGCAGGCACAGGGCCAAAGAGCAGGTGGTAGACCTGGGGGAGCGGGCGAGGAGGCATGACGCAGGCGGGGGGGCTGGAGAGCCTGACCCTGTGACACCTCTGAGCTTAGAAGGGGGCTCAGCTGCCCTTGCACCCCCCATGCCCACCACCAAGGGCTATGGGACAGGCAGAGTGCAGTGGCGGGCTGGGAGCTGCTCCCATAGGTACAGACTACCCACCCCGGTAGGGGGCCCACGTCACCTCGGGCGGGTCCACCCGGGCAGCCAGGAGGGCCTGTGCTGTGCTGTGAGGCAGTGACAAATTCTGCGTCAGAAAGCGCCAGAGCTCCCGCGGGTCCCTGGCCACCGAGTCCAGAGAGAAGGTGGAGACTGGACAGGCAGGAGGAAGGGTGAGGCCGGCTGGGCAGGTCCACCCACAGTACCCTGCCAGCACGCCGAGCAGGCCCCAATCACAGGCCCAGCAGCACCCTCGGCATGGGGATACAGGACCGGGTAGACAGGGGCCAGGCCTGGAGGCAGGGCCCATGGAGCCAGTGACCACTCGGGCCCCGTGGGGCCCTCCCAGGCCATGCGCCCAGCCCAGGCATACCTGTGGGGCTGTCCGTGCGGTCCTCCCAGGCACCTGGGCCGGCACTCAGGGCCTCCAGATGCTGCCGCAGGGCCTCAAGCTCTGAGCCCAGGCTGGGCCGCGCAGGGTTGAACAGGTTACCCTCCTCCACCACGCGGTTCAGGCGCTCCAGAAGCTGCGTGACCCTGAACCACCATGGGTGTCACCACCGGGCCGGGGACAGAGGGGGCAGGGCTCCCGCGGAGGGGGCACTCACGTGGAGTTTGCGTACTGCAGGAAGCCAAACTCGTCCCGCTGGCCGTCGGGGCACAGTGACTGCATGACTGGCAGGATACCGGCGGAGGTGAGGGGTGCGGCCGTGTAGAAGGCTGCAGGGGTGGGCAGGTGGGCCAGAGGGCCCAGAGGGGCCAGGGGAGAGTAACGCAGAGGGGAGGGAGACAGAGGCCGAGAGGAGAAATTTGGAGAAAATCAGGAAGGAGAAGCAGCGACAGGCAGGAGAGAGCGGGGGAGCACCCGGCCCTAGCTGTGCAGCAGGCCACGTGCTCTGGTGCTCGTGACTCCGGCAGGTCAGAGGTCAAAGGGCCACTCGCCAGCCCCTATGCCAGAATCCTCAGGTCATCCCTCTCCCCTCAACCACCCAGGTTTAAAACACCCTGCCAAGCAGGGGTGTGGCACTGCCCACGGAGCCCAGGGAGATACGGGGTCCCCTCCTGGCAGGGACCTCTGACCTCTCTGGCCAGCCGATTAGCAGAGTGAGTGCAGGAGCTCACAGAGGTGTGACGGGAGAGAAGTCAGGCTAGCCCAGCATCAGTCCTAGGTTAGCCCAACTCTTAGTCCTAGGCTAGCCCAGCCCCAGCTCAGGTTTGCCTGGCCCCAGCCCCAGGCTAGCCCAGGCACCCCACCTCTGGAGTGCATGGTCAGGCGACCCCACACAGAGAGGAAAGTACCCTGGCAGCTTGACACAGGCCCAAACTGTGGCCCAGCACCTGGCCTTCACTACCCACCGCCCCAGTCTGGAGTCAGCTATCCCTGACAGGGTGCAGGGGGCCAGGGAGAAGTTGTTAATGCAAGCAGGGAGGGGTGCTCAAGCCGCACCAGGAGGACCCCGCCGGGGCCATCCCACCGCTGCCACCTGGGGGCCAGCCTGGAGGAAGCGGCTGCTCACTTACAGACTGCATGCGGGCCACGGTGGAGGAGGAGGAGGAGGACAGAGACCATGCGTGGGTGGGGCAGGGTCAAAACAGAACAGAGGAGACCAGTGAGTGCCAGAGCGATGCCGGGCCATGCCGGGAACGGGCGCCTGTGCTCACTCATGGCTGCCACAGCCAGCCACGTCCTCCTTGAAGCCCAGCCGCCAGGCTGGAACGCAGGCCCAGGGTACACGTGGGAGTAGGCATACAGACTGCGCTCAGGAGCCATGAGCGCAGGTGAGCATACGCGTGAAGATACGTGCACACAGAACACGTGTGCATGACTTGGTAAGGACACCTTGCCCGCCCACTCCAGCTGTGTCTTGGCCCACCCCGCCCAGACCCTCACCTTCCTTCACGGAGATTGTGGGCTTCTTCTGCCGCAGCCCCAGCAGGATGAAGAAGAGGACCAGGGGGATGAAGATCTCAAAGGCCAAGACCCACTGTGAAGGGAAGCCGAGTGAGACCCCGCCTGGGCCTATCTGGCAGACTTGCACCAGCCCGAACCCTCCCTGCCCTGTCAGCCAGCCTTCTCCCCTGAAGATAGACCTCTCCCAGCAGGGCCAGCCTAGCCCAGCCAGGACCCATGTGCTCATTGGAGGCCATGGAAGGTCAGGCCAGGCCCTCCAAGCCATCAAGAGAGCAAGTGTTGCCTGGCCCACGAGAAGCAGGTCTTGCGCCTCCCATCCAGGTTCTGCTTACACACCGAAGGGGCTACATTTGAGCCACCTGCCCTGGGAGGAGTCTCAGAGCCAGCAGGGACAAATCATCCAGCTTGTGGTACACTCTGACCTTCGCTTCTAACAGCTCATCTTTCCCCACCTCGATGTGGCAGGGCTGCCTGAGCAGGATGTTGGAGGCCACCTGAGCCCCATTTGGCCCCTGTGCCAACAGCTCCCACACTCCCTCAGGATCAGCCCCTTTGCCTACCGCCGCAGCGCCGTCTAGTCCCGTGCAGGCCGGTGAGCTGGGCCTGGGCCCTGGGCCCCAGGAACACCTGGAAAGGGGTCTGACACCCCCAGTCTCTGAAGCCATAAGCACCTCCTTCTGCCCTGGCCCTACCCCAAACTCGGGCCAGCTCAGGTGGGAGCAGCAGCCCTGGTGGGGCCTGGGCCTCAGAACCGAGCCCCTGTGGCAGGCCTGGCCTCAGCTTGGTTTTCCTGGAGGCTCCTGTTCCCTGGGGCTGGGCACCATGGTGAGCCCTGGTGGGACCAGCTCTGAGCAGGAGAGAAACGCTGAGACCCCCTGGCAAGGCTCAACCTAGTCCAGTGGGCGGGAGGACTCCACCAGGGCCCATCACCGCCTCGCCTGGCTCGGGGAGGCAGATGGAGGAGGGGCCTGGCCAGCAGCTTTCTGGGGATCCCCTGCAAACCTACTTGAGGGGCACCTTGACCCTCATCCCCTCCCGGCAGACCATGCAGATCTTCCCACGGGCACCAGAGTCCCTTCTCCCCCACCCTCACCCCAAAACAGACTTCAGAGACCCAGCATGGTGGCACCCCCGTCTGGCCCAGGGCCGGCCTGTGCCCAGTGGAGGCAGCTGCACTGTTTACTGAGCATCACTGACAATGGTGCTCTGTGGCCCCAAACCTGTCTGCCCCAGCCCGTGCCAGCCTCCACCCCTCCCCAGCTGGGCTGGAGCCCAGGCCAGGCCCAGAGGTCATCGCGGGCACCCACCAGGCTGCTTGAGCAGGCTCCAGCCACAGGCACATGGGTGACAATGCCTGCATGCGAAGGTGGGTGCCGGAGGCCGGGGTCACAGCCATGGTGCCAGCCCAGCCCACACCCGCCCCGCCACCGGGTACCTCCCCTTCCATAGCTGCAGCAACAGGCCACGGCCACCTCCCCCATCACTATAGCAACGGCTGCGCATGAGCTGCTGGGAGGAGGAGAGGCCTGGCTGGCGGTGGGGAGGGCAAGCGGGCGGGCGGTGAGAGGGCATCTGGTTACAGGCGTTACAGGCTGGCAGCACAGGTTCAGCCCCATCTGGGTGCCCCACCCGAGTGCCCCACCTTGGTACCTCACCTGGGTGCCTGCAAGGTAGCCCAACCTCTGCCCCTCAAGGCCAGCCCAGGTACCCCTGAGCCTGGATGCCCATTTGGGCCGGAGCCCTCCTCCCTCTCCCCCAGATGAGGCCTAAGGGCAGCGTTGCCATGGCAACTGGAGGGCAGGGTGCCACCTGCCCCTCAGGGACTCAGTGACAGTGAGCTGGCCCCTCCTCCAAGTGCAGCCTGAGGTCCCAGGGTTGCCCTGTGTGTAGCTAGCTGAGAGGGAATGGGCCAGCCTCATAAATGGGGAGACTGAGGCACAGAGCTTGGGAGAAGGGAGCCAGCGGGGAACAGTGTTTGGTTCCCGCCCTCCCAACCTGTGCCGTCCACAAGGTGCCCTCCCCTATAGGCACAGAACACAGAGGGAAGACCCCAGCCCAGCCCCAGTAGTCCAACTCTGAAGCCCAAAACCCTTCCTGGGAAGAGTGGGTATCCAGGGGGGCACACCTACCGTCTCAGCCGGCCCCAGACCCAGGGTTCAAGCCAGGCTGGGCCTGAGCTCCTTGGGAAAAGGATCCCCACTCACTTTGTTCGGAGACCAAGGAATCCCCAAGGGCCCAACCGCACTGCCCCTGGGGAGCGCCAGGGCAGGGACAGGGTACAGAGAGGTGGGGGTGACCCAGCCTAGCAGTGGGAGCCACTCCTGGGGTGGGCATGCTTTCCAGTTGCCCCCACAAGCTGCTGCTGGGGCCACCATCCTAGCCTCTGCTCCCAGCCCCTGGTGTGGGGGCAGGGTCCTTCCTGCCAAGAACCCCCAGGGCTGATACTAATGCCAGCTCCATCTTCATCCTGGGGACCCAAAGCCTGGAACTGGGAGCTGTACCCCAGGCTGCCTGGGGCTGCAGGCCCAGTCCAAGTGACCCAATCCAGCTGGCCGCTGGCACCCCAGGTAGGGAGTGTTTCAGACCCTGGCTCTATGCCAGGGCCAGGTGCCTGAAGGGAGTCCTTGGAGGCCACGGTAATGCAAGCCTCCCCCCTCCCCCTGCCCACAGCCCCACCTTTCCCGCTGTGCACTTTAAAGGCCCTTCCCAAGGAGACCCAGGGCCAGGTGGGATTACAGGGGCCTCCTCCTTAGGCCCCCACTCAGGGGACCGAGGGCCACTGGACCTGACCCCCTCTGGGCCCCGGCCCCACCCTGGAAAATTCCAAAGGCTCATTCGGAAACTAGAGCTGCCTAGGCCTCTCTGGCCAGTATGCTGCTGTTCCCTGCCCACGGGAGATGCCCCTGCCTGCCCTTGGCCAGAGGGGGAGGACCTGCAAGAGTCCCACCTGCCCAACCCTGCTCCCCACCCAGGGCTCCATCTCTGACAGGGGCTCTGCCATGTGCCCTTGGCTCCCTGGCTGCCCCAGGGTGGGGGGCGTGGGGTGGAGCAGCCTCAGAAAGAACTGGTCCCAAAGGACAAAAAGGGTGCAGAGACTCGGCTGGCAAGGGCTGGAAGAACAAGGACGTTCCTGACGGGGAGAGAATCACAAGTGAGGGATGGTGGACTGCCGCGAGGATGCCGAGGAGGAGGAGAGGTACCCCCAGGAACCAACGTCGGCACGAGGCCACCTGCCCAAGGGCAGGGGACAGCAGAGGGAGGGCAGGGGGAGGTTCCTTGCAGGGGCCGAGGGGAAGGGTCGCGCCCAGGTACCCCGGGGGCTCCGAGCTGGATCCAACCCCCCAGGCCAGCCCCCTGTCCTGGAATGCAGGACCTGCCCCGACCCTAGAGTCCTGGATGCCGTCTGCCCCACCCCGCAGCCGGCCGGGGTGCGCGCTGCGGAGGGCGCCCGTCCGGTGACTCAGCCATCGGCCCGCAAACGTCCGCGGTGCGGCCCGGGGCGGCGGGCAGGCCAGGCGGTGCCCAGTGGCTGCTACGCCAGCCAACGG